CATATGACTAATGATTGTTTGTACGGATAGTACAATTAAGGTTTTTCTAACTCGTCCATAGCAATACGTAGATAACTCCGATTAACTTGTTCCGTGCAAACATGACGATCGATTGTAAGGAAAATTATTATGAGTAATAATAATTTCTCAACCATTTGTATGATTAGATCTAATTAGCTTATATATGTGTATTAGTTTTAATGGTAAGGATATCATCAAAGTATCATTCGTGTTAATTTTTGTACATTAAATCTATATATATATATATATATATATATATATATATATATATATATATGTTGTGTAAGGCTTTAAACAAACTATCATAGAATGATGTTTTATATGAAATTGTATTTTCTTTAGTATTCAAATTCTATATAATAACAATTCAAAACGTAAATTTATTTATTATCCAAATCAAACTTCTTAAACACCAATAAGTTTCTAGTCTAGCGATAAAATTTTTATACTTGTAAAAGTTTACGAGTTCAAATTCTCTTTTCAAAATATTTGAGTTTTTTGGTAACTACTTTTTTTTTTTTTTTTAGATTCAGCAATAAAGATACCTTCGGACCAATTTTTGTGTATTTTGAGATTAATCCTGTTCTAGAAATGGATAGAAGGCACTTCCCAATATTTAACTTTATATATTTTGAGAATAAATTTTCAAGAATGCCGATAATAAGAATCGAACTCGAATTTGACCTATAAATCAACGCTTTCTTACTAGCAGATTATTAACGCTAAATAATAATAATAATAATAATAATACTAACTACTAATGCTTAAAAAAAAAATCTTTTGTGAAAACATTGTTATCACTTTTAATGAGTACGAATGTAATTTTTTTTTTTGTCTTTCTCATTAAAATGGACTCATAGAGTAAGTATTATTAATTACTTCATGAATATTTTAAAATTTATCATTTTTCTCCTCCATTCTCACTGCCTCTCCTTACTCCCCTGGCCAAAACCTTAACCCGAGCTCTTACTTCCCTTTCCCCTTCAATCTAATTTTCTAGACCTCGTTTCTCTACTACTTTACTTGGCTCAAAACACTCGCATCGTCCTCCCTACCGTTCCCTCGCCACTCTTTCTGCTTTGGCCTCTGAGGCGTAGTCGTCGTGGTAACGCTAACCTGAGGATTAATAATTGCTTACATTCTTGACCCTCTGAATTTCAAATTCGGTGCGCTTTTTAACGTTTGGGTTTCTCTAACTAGGACTTATATGGCCTTCTTTTTTAGCTCCTCATTGACATGCAATATTTTTAATTTGGTTCCTCTTGGTTTGCTTGCTGCATTCCTCTATACACAAAGGAATTTCTTAATTGGTTGTGTATTTGTGATTTTTTTGTTGAAAATGGCGAATGCAAGATCAAATGTTTACGAGGGCTAAAATAAATGTTTATAAATTTATCATGATTTACACAAACTTATAAATATTATAAATAATATATCAACATATATTTTAAAATAGTCTCAAAATACAATCAATCAAAATAGAGATCTTTGCTCTTTTAAGTTGCGAAAATAATCTATAAGCGAATTTATACTAAAATTTTCAGCAATTTTGTTTTTTCAATATACACTAACAAATAATCGAAAAGAAAATCATCTTTCATCTTATTACGACACTATGCTCATAATCGAAAATGATCGCTCCATGATAGTCGTAAAAGCCGAAAGAGTAAAAATATGTATTATCACTCTATACACAAATGGATAACTTTCAAATTTTCTTATTTTCATAACCCATTGACGCAAATAAGATATTGTAGTAACAAGTAATCTTAAGTAAATTATAAGTTACTCCATCTAGTTTTTTTTTAATGGATTAATTAGTTCTTCTTGTTCCAAAAACAAATTATTTAGTTCTTGTATTTTAAATTTTCCTGTAATTTAATAATTTTTTTTAATATTTAAGGAATTATATAGAATATAAAAATTAGCAATTAAGTTTTTAACCGACTTCATGTTGGACTATTTTAGTAAGAGATACGTAGGGCATAATGACAATTCTCTTACAACTTGGGCTTCATGCCCTTGAGCCCTTTTATTTATGAAATATTTATTTTGTTTAATCAATGAAGTTTAATGTTTTAGGCAATGAAATCATTAGAATTGATGATAATAAGGTAACGAAACATTTAATTTCAAATAAAAAATAATTAGAAAAAAATTCCAATCTAAATTTAAAAATTGATAATTGATAATTAATTTTTAAATAAATTAAAATTTAATAAAGATTTCAACCCTTAAATAATAATAAGAATCACTAAATTTAAATAGAATAAAAAAAAATGAGACCCACAAGATTCAAATTAGTTGTCATTTAGATCATTTGTATTGGTACCGCATAACCATATAAACAACCAATATGGATTAAGCTAGCAATGGGCTCAAATTGTTTTAAAGGCCAATCCAAAACAACAAAAATTGGAGGGGGCAGGGCCCTTGTAGGGTTCAACCTGGGTCCGCCCCTGCTTGTTGGAAAGGTTGAGAGAGTATTCGTGTTTGGGGTTTTGGAGAATAGAAACATATAAGATTGGTAATATTGAGTTTTATTTTCTTAAATGTTAAGAATTTTGAAAACTATATATTAATTAAACAACTTAATATTTTCATATAAAAACGCTTGCCATGTTACTGTCGTGACATCACATCATCTTTACGGCATTATAGGTCAAAAGTCTTAAATATTAAGGGAATATATAAGAAAGGGATATCATTAATCGTATTAATAATGGAAAAATCCAACTAATCAAAACTCAGACATTGAACACCATTAACCTTAGATGCATCTGTTTGTCTGTTCCATCATTTGCCATGGACGTAGAAATTTGAAACTACTGTTCCTTGAGTGCAATTTATGGGTCGATGTGTATAATTGGGCTGGGCCACTATCTCCATTCTCTAAACAAGCACTAAAACGAAAGCAGTCTTATTAACCCCAAAAAAAGGGAAAAGAGCAAATAATAAAAACAAAATTCTCGTGTTCTAAAATAAGTCTCAGATTTGAATTTTGGGTAGAGAGGAGTGAAGATCGATGGCTGCAGTGACAAGCGCATTGATAGCAATAGCAGGAGTTGTTCTGGGTTGGATAGCCATAGAGATCGCTTGCAAGCCATGCCTCGAAAAGGGCCGTGAAGCAATCGATCGATCTCTCAATCCTGATTATGACCCTGACGATGATGAGATTCGCACCCCTCTTAACCCAAACCCAGATCTCCGACAACAACCGGATCCCCAGCTCGAGTCGTCGGCTTCTTCAACTGCTGCAGCAATCAAGGCTGTCTGATTCTTTGCTTGGTATTTATTTACCTGAATTGCCATTATTGCATATACGTGTCTCTTTCCGATTCCGTCCTGTTTTGCTCTTTCTCCGGGGCTGAATGTGTGTTCTTTGTTGTCTTCTTGTTGTGTAAATTCTTGTAATGAGAGGAGCAAAGCACATTTACTACTTTACTATTCAACTCGAGTTCTGTAGCAAATCGGAACACCCCATAAAAATGCTGTAATAGGTTCTGTAGTTATCACATTTCTGAAGGTGTTTCAACACTTGAGGCCTCTCCCATGAGGCTAATGTTCTCTTTTACCAAGTTTTATCAATGTTTATATTATGGGAAACTATGCACAAACATCTAATTGATGTAAAAGCTTTTGATTGGCATGACTTCGTAACCCAGAGCCGAAATTCTTACTTCATACCATGAATTCTACACCATACTATTAATTTATCAGTAAACTTCAACACCTCAACATACCATATAAGAAAAAAAGTCAACGCTGCATAATAAGTTAGTAGATTTTGTTATCGGAGAAATATGTGATTAAAATCTTTGAAATTATGATTAAATCATGCAATTCAAAAGCCAGCTCACAGAAACTCTTCTTTTCTGTGCCTAGAAGATGGAACTGTTCATTTTGTATGGTAAGGACCCATGAGGAAACCTTTTTTTTTTTTTTTAAAGGAATTTAATACTGGGCCAAAACGATAATTTTCACACTAATTTTACAAGCACCAGGACATAAAAATTACAGAATACTATCAATTAACTTTCTAATCTCGGAATTTTTTATTTTTATCAATTGTATCAAACATAATAATGTTATTTTTCCAGGCATTCATTATTAAAAGATTCCATTAAATTCGAACATTATTTACAAGTACTACTTAATTCTCGTCAGTCCTTCCAAAGCCCCATTTGTAGCTTTAGCTCAATTACTCATGCCCTAAATGAAGGAAAGTTGTGTAAATTGTAAATTAATACTTACTGGGACTTACTTTGAAGATTCTGTGCAAGTACTTAACACAGAAATTATGTTCAAATTGGACTGAACAACTCATTTGTTACCAACAGTGGATGGATGGAGATTGGAGAGACAAAATTGTACAACATCAACTACATTTGGGACAAAATTGATAATACCCTAAGGTTTGAGACAGCGTTGATGATGGTATCATTAAACTGGCGTACCCCATAAATTTAAGAAGATGAAATTAAACTATTAAAAGGAACCAAAAAGATAGAACAAAAACAAAGCGTGACGTGGCAACCATGTGTTAAAATGCCACGTGAGCAGCAACACAGCCGTAAAATAATAATAAAACTATGACCTCGATTTGAACGTTAATCGTACATTTGAGGTGTGAGCGTACGCCCTCATTCTGTTAAAGCTCCAATTCTTACAGCCGGTGAAAATGCCAGATTTTCTCACTTCTCCACAATCTCGAATAAGCTACTCTAGTGGGAGCTTATTTTCCCTTTTTTTTTGTTTGAATTAATTTTCCCCCTTGTCTCAAGTGACTCAAAGATCATATAAAAGCAAAGAAGTATCGAAAGAGGGGCAAGAATACGCTTTACAATTACAGTATTGATTGCAGCAAAAATAAACTACATACTGTACATTAATACGACCAGGATTGAACATCAGCCTCTTGGAAAGACGGCAGAAGTTTCCTGTGCCATTTACAAGGACACATTTGGTATGACAGTGTGTTAGGCCAAGTAATTGTATATCTGAGGATTGTTCTTGTCTCGCTCCAGGTATTCCCTGTCGATAAGGCTTTCTATCCTTTTCTTCAAATCGGCTGGCTTTATAGGGAACTTCAGCTGTTTGCAACATACAAAATTTTTCTCATCAATATCAATATCCATTCACGCAAGAAAGTTTCAGAACAAGGTAAAGTTTGCCTCCCAATTTCATCCACCCAGGTCATCTATCAAAGCGACTAATCATAGTACATTCAGGTGACGTTTCATAAAATGAAAAGGAGATGATCAGTACTCCACTCTTACCATGCTTTGGTGTAATGTGATAGTAACCTGAGATATAACATACTATCTTATGTATATGTTCAAGACCAGAGATGAATCAATAGAGGGGTGGTAAGGAGTGGCCCCTCTTCCCCACCCAACATAGTTCAAGAAGATACACTTACAAAATGCCCCCCTTAAAACCAAAACTATACATCCTACCATTTTCCTTGTCTTCATTCACAAATCAAATAAAGGGAATTTACCTGCTGGAATAGTTCAGTTATAAGAAGCGTGTGACTTAGCACTTTCCTTGTCTTCATTATCCGGACAATCGCAGCATCAACCTGGAATAATTAAGCAATTACCACAAACATTATGCAGCAAGTTAGCATCTTTAAATGTCCATCATAGGAAATTGTTTTTTTTTTAAATGGAACTTGAGTGAAGGTTAACCTGGTATTGACGATCCTGGAATACTCTCTCAGTGGTGCTTGTGTTTTCCTCTACAGTTTCCTTCATCTGGATCGCATTGACCTGCACCCCCAAACAAATGTTAGCTTAAAGATCCAAAATACAACTAGCAAAGGACAAGCATGGAATTCTCCTAAAATTAGGAAAGCACTAGGCTTCACAAGGTCACTCTTGGCATTAGCCATGCTAATGCAAGTCGAACAACATGCTATTGTGAGCTATGACTGTAGATAGGTATGAAACGAGCATACCTTTAACCGATAGAGTGGAGCAGTAAATCCTTCATTGAACACAAAGGAATCATCATCCTCCACATCCCTCCCTTTAGGCAGCTGCAAGCCATAAATTCTATAATAATAAGGAAAAGCAGAAGGGTCGAGGAAAAGCTAACATTTTCATGATTTTATATTCATTAGTAAGAACTCAAACATGCAACAATTGTGATGCAGATAATCATCACCTACCTTCTGCAGGACACGAAATTTTCCACATGCCAGAGACTGCAAAGTCCTCCTAAGTTCCTTGTCTTCTATGCCAGTAGAGTCTTTGATATCTTGAAAACTAAGCTTTTGGGCATCATTAAACAGCATCAGAACAACAGTCTGGAATAGAAGGCACAAGATTGTAAACTATTAGAGCATGTCTACTTGTGCAGGTGGCATCAATATAAACAAATAAACGGTAAGAGACAATGGAAAGAGCAATGCATTGAAAACTAAACAAGACCAACCTGAAATAGAGAAACTGCTAGCTCCTTTTTACCTTTCGGAAACTCAGCTTTCAACACACAATGACCCAATAAATTTTGCCACATTAAGCGCCTTCCACTATACTTGCTTAAGTAGAATTCTTTGAATATATCCTATATACAAGGTAATTGTTTATTCTATATCTTAGTAGCTGGAAACACTGAAAAAAAAAAAAAACAAAATAACATTTGGTATCTTGTGCAATACCTGATAAACATTCAGCTCATGAGGAAGCCTAATGTCCATGGGTGGATATGTGGGCCAGTACCTGCAGAGCAACCAACCAAATATAACTAAAATTTCTGTTGGAAATAAGGGACTAAATATACAAAATTTACATCAAGTACAGACTATTAGGATCTAAACCTACCCAGTGGTTAAGACATGTACACTCATTTCAATCCCTGATGGAAGTTTTGTCCTGGCCTGAGATGATTGTTTGAAGGACTCATTTATCTCCTTTGACAGTTCAATATCCTGAAAAAGTATCACCAAGAAAAAGAAAAAGATAAGTATGTAGCCATTTTCATCATTGGTAATCCATATAATGTTACTAAATTAATGAAAGAGAGACATTAGGATTTAATTTAATAGGCCACAATGGCATATAGAACCACAATTCTAATGGTCTACATAAGAAATTCACAAAAAATGAAACTCAATATACAAAAATCTATGTATGAAACCAGCATCAAACTGCAAGAACAAGCTTCTTTCTTAGGAAAACAATTTTGCCATTATACAAGGACATTGCATTTAAATTGCACCAAGTTCATACTCTTACCTCTCTTGACACTTGTATCAACTACCGTTAAGTAATAACATGAGCCTGCATCACTCTCATGAAGTCCAATCAAGAACCATTTCAACGATATATATATAAACCACACAAACACACACACACATTTACTGTTTTTGCCTTTTATTAATTCTTGTTTAGGTGTGCATGCATGCTATGCTGGAGGGATTGGGTGTGCTTGCAAAAAGATAAAAGCATGTTAGCTGACATGTTACACTGATGGTGTGCTGTGGGAAAACTGAAAGCAGGTGTGAGGGATATAGCATTTGCTCCAAGTTAATAAGCTACATCAAATTCATATTGCCACCTCTTGTTAGTGTCCCAGTCATGAATGCATTCTTGGAGGCATGACAGCTTCACTATATTACGTTGTCTAACAATAAACTACCATACTCTGATTAAAGTTTTAATGAGAAAAAAAGAACAAAGAAGAATCCTGAATGAACTTTTATAAATGTGCAGACCTTAAACATTCCTTCAAGCTTGTTTGTAAACTGGCTGCCACATTCAGTCTTCAGCTGCAATGACAAAGCAAACCTGTTAATTTGATTGATAAAAGAAAAGGAAATAACAAAAAATGTCCTCATAAAGATTGCCGTGCTTAACCTTAGATATCATAGATTTCTCTGCATCAATAGAAGCACTTTTTCTCAACAGCAGTCTTTTTGCAAGATCCTTCTTATAAAATGCTTCAAACACATCCTTACCCTTCATAAACCAAAAAAATAAACAACAAAAAAGATGCACATATCTCAGCCTCATTTTGTTTTCTACAAGACCAGAAATATGATAGTAACAAAAAACCTGGTGAGCTAGCAGTGAAAAATACTTTCTTTAATACCATGATTACCTGAATAAACCTGAATAAAACCAAAACTTTATCAAGTGTACCCTCCAACTCCTCCTCGGAAGTACCCTTATTCCCAGCACGAAGCTTATCATCCAAAAACTTTGCAATCAGCTCAGCAGGACGGTTCTATAAAATGGAGAACAAAATTCGATAGTTAGGCAGGAAGTTGACAACAACTCTATAGAATCAGTATTGACAACTGAATAATCAAAAACTCATAGCACTATTGAAAAAAAAACGATTTATGGGATTTCATCATCTGGGATTGACATTAATAATGAGATAAATAAGCATGTGCTGAAATCTTTTGCCAACAAATAGAGGAACCTTCAAGAATACAAATTCCGATAACGGAATCAACTATCAGCAGAAACGTAGTAAGATAAGGAAAAAAAAAAAAAACAAAACAATATAAAAAGCACGCTTAAAATGATATGCATCTCTTTTGGCATGGAGCGTGAGGTGTTATTTTTTACATTTTCCGCATGAAATCGCCACATTGCATCATATAACTTTATTTCTTAGTCCTATTACAAACCATGAGAAATGACTAGTATTTACTGATGTCAGAAAATCATTATAAAAGTGTAAAACCTCCAACAGAAAGAATACAAGCTACATGAAATCTCATTGCTGGTGTTTATTGCCATCCCACAACTAATCTATTATTGCCTAAATACCTATTTCCATAAACTCAAAAGATATATCATGAAATTCTTTTAACATTACAATCTAATACTAGGGAGGATTCTTTCAGTTAGTCATCAAGACATTAACTTAGCAGCTGCTTAGCCTTGTTATGCAGTTGCAACAAACATAGGAGTCAAATAGCACTTTCGATTTCACGATTAAAGATATTTTATCTCATAAACGCAACTAAAAACTGATTTAGACAAAAAATAAAAATAGAAGGGTGAGGAATTTTTTCCCCATGGCTATTGTGTGACTATTACACGGAGAAACCACCAAATACTCTTCCAATACGGTATATGCTTGGTTGATCATTAGACAAGTGAATTGTAGAACTCAAAATAAAATCCAATTATTGAACACCAACTTTCCCACAATAAGGAAGTTGGATAATGCCACCCTCCTCTCCACCTCCCCTTCTACCAAAAAGAAAAGAATAATACCATTAATAGTAACAGAGATATATACAAGGATAACAATAACGAGGACCAAGCAGTTAACACAAATGGTTCAGTGTATCTTTCTTTTCTTTTTTTCTGCTCAAATATTTATGTGGAGATCCAAATTCAATAAATAAATCATATACCATGCATGTCCTCTAGCATCTACACAGGAGCTATGCATCAGGAGAGGCCTTTCCCAGAGGATAAAAAAATGTGCATGAGAAGTTTATAGAAAATTTTGGCTCTTTCATATGAGAAATGCTGAAAGGACTTTCCAGTTGAAGAGAATGAGATCGTCGTCAGTGAGCACAGGGAAAACCAGACAGTAGAAACACAATAGACAAGGGCATTTTCTTTTATGAGTAAAAGAAAGAAAGGTAAACACACATGTAAGAAGGCTGATTAGCAATTTGACTTACTGCTTTAAAAGCACACAACAATGCAATGAGGTCATAAGAGGCTTGGCCAAGTGGACAACTATAAATTGTTCTAAACTAATAAATTTGCTACCTAATTATACATACAATCTTCAGAGAAATTTCTGACACTAGCAGATATTTACTTCACACGAATGCCAATTTTGTCTCTAAACCATAGCTTTTCTATAACCTGATCACTACATTCTGGAAATCCCTTCATCAAGATCAAAACCCAGAAATTCTTTATTTTCCTAAACCTAGACCCAGACTTATTAAAAGTGCACCTTGGGTACTAGGAACAAAGCTAGAAGGCCAAAACAATTCTGAAACCCTAGGTGAGGCGCCTTCAACAAGGCACGTTCAAGAAGAACAGGAAAAAAAGAATAAAAGAAAAAAGCATGGCCAGATAAAGATGTCACCTGTTTCTTTTTCATATCAAGTTTCATAAGGGTATGCAATTGTTATTTAAAAGTTTACTTGACTTTAGTTATGATCTACAGTGGTTTCTGTAAAAAAAAAAAAAAGCTTTTTAACCACTTTCTTATAAATAGTACAGTTAGTATATTTTGAAAGCAGGGGAAAGAATGATTTATGATACTTGTTTCCCTGAAAATAAGAAAAAAGGAAGAGATAAATTATCATACATTAGGTATTATACGCATATGCGTTGCTTTGCTCAAGTATACAACTAGGCTCCAAGGGCCCTAGGCGCTTAATTTACCTAGTGCTATCAATAACATTGCCTAACCAATAAATAAGCAGTTCCAGGGCCTGTTTGGTATTTGATGAGTTGTGCTGTGCGGCTACTGAGCTGAGGTGTGAAAAGAAAGTAACACAAAAAAAAATCAATGTTTAGTAACTAACTGCTACATTTTTAAAACATTATATTTTTACTCGATGGACCCAATAATAAGTTGCTTTGCTTTTGGTTGAACACAGGTACCTTGCTTTGATCCAAAAACAAAAAGTAGTTACCATCTAAAGAGGTTAGTGCTGTTTTTATTTATTTTTTTAAACAAAGCATTCTAACCAAACACTGCGTTAAGAACCAAAAGCAGCTAAAAGAAGCTGAGAGCAATACCAAACAGACTACTTTTTCTCTCTCCTACATCAAATTACCTGGAGAATCTCACACTAAGATTTTCTGGAGAAAGATATTGCATGGTAAATCATACCAGGAGAAATTTTTGGAAAGGAGAGGCATATTATTAGTGCATCACTTTGATAACAGACTAGCATGTTATCCCAATATCAATTTTGATAGAACGCTAGTCTGATTCTGGCTATGCAAGATGTGCCATTTTGTTGAATAACACTGCAAATGCAAATCACTGCACCACTAAATTTACAGAAAACTTAATCTAACTTTGGCCACTCTAATATTTTTCCATTTATATTGCAAATTCTACCATTAACTACTTCAGATATGTCTTTGCATATTTGCAAATTTTACCACTAAAATACTTCCAAGTATTGTCTGAAGCTCAAAGAAGATTTGTCTTAGTCTCAGCAAATCTGCAAACTAAGAGTTAAGTCATTTGGTGGCATTTCTTTAACAATTATGTTTAAACCTGCCTTTATTGCATTTCAAGTGTTTTAAGCAAAAGAGCTGAGATCATTCATTGAAAAGTTCAAAGGCTCTCATTTTTTCCCCTATTACCTGCATAACTTTTTAAATCCACTAACTGCTTTTAACAAAAACAATCAATGCATAATTGGTAAACACATAACAAAAAGTTGGACAAGTCTATCATTTGACAGTCGATCCATTCATATTTTTATCTCCACTTTAGTCTTTTGCTGTTTACTTTCCTAATTCATCATTTACCTTTAATTTTACTTGTCCTTTCATTTTTCTTTCAACAGGACAATGGTGAATGCTTAGTAATGATTTGAACTCAACATTTTGTGGGGTTTAATTATCTCAAATATACTGTAAATTGGATGTGAAAAAGTATATCATTTCCCCCCTTATTCTTAGAGACATTTTTACGAAATTTATTTTTATAGTTATTGTTAATATTTAATAAGATTTTGCAGTAATCTCATGCAGCACACAGGTGATAAAATTGCTTTAATATGTTACTAATATGATATAGTATTGCAACCAACTAACATCAAACCAACAGAGCAATAGACTAACCTGACGAAGATTAATTAGATGCTCAAATGCATCCTTTATGGTGATGCAAAATCCTTCATTCTTGGAGAAGCTTTCTTCCCATATCAAGTCAAGAGAAGCCTTAAATTCTAACAGGGAGGAAACCATATCTTTGTCTTTCTCTTCATCCATAACAATGCCCTGCCCAGTTCTTCGGATGTACATGCTAAGTGCCTGCCTTAATGACTCAAGTGCATTGACCCTTGAGAACAGTGAGTGGATCCTCCGAAGGTCCTCAATCCGATGTCCATCCATCAGCATCATGAACCCCTGGGCAGATCAGAGAGACATATGATTATTCAAGCATTGCAAAAAGATAGCACTTTGGAAGGAAGCTACATATAACTAAAGGGCATTTGCACCTTATCAAGAATCAAAGATACATGACGTTCAAGTAGCTGCCTTTCTGCAGTTGCTATTAGTGGCTTTTTAGTACTTGCATCAAGGTAAATCTTGCATCGATCTTGTTCTTCATTCAATCTCGACTGCAGTAATAGGTAACCCACCAAATTTTCCAGCAGCAAACAAATATTAAGTAACAGAACTGACATAAAAGCTGCAGCTAAAACTAAAACTGATTTTCATATTCTACTGTAATACTGAAAAACATCAGAGGAGAAAAAAAGAGAACCTCCACATGCTTCAAGTAATCTGGAACATCCGATTGCTGCATGTATTTCATGCCTTCAGCAGCATAAAATTCAGATGTGCACTCAAGGAATGGTCTTTCAAAACTCTCTGCATAAATTCCTAGTGAAGTGAACATCTTCAAAAGATGGACAAGGGGTTTTCTATCAACTGTTTCACCTAATCTGCAACCACAAGAAAAGGATCTCTATGAAGCGTCCAAGAAGCAAAAAAAAAAAAGAAACTGCTACTTCAAAATACTTCAATAATCTAATGTCACAAAGTTCTCATTTGCAAGATTTGTGACCACTCCAAAAATTGATCTCCAACATCCTAATAGAAAACAAGTTGTTGCAATCTATGAGAAAGGGAGTGGCATATTTTACATTCAATTTGATTTACAGATTTTAGATTTCGCTTATTTTGGCAATTCATTGTTTGTCACTCCATATTTAATAATCCAATTGGAGAAAGAAAGCATGTATGTTACAACTTGCATGTAGTCTGCATCCCAGTCATGTATAGACATTGGTTCAACAAAGTGAACTTTTAATAGCAGCTCTGTTATTTGTAGAATTAGCTTCGATTGAAATTTAAAGCACCCCATACACATATAGGACATAAAAGTTGCCTGAGCAGATTGACAGAAAACTAGAAATCTGAGATATATGTTAGATTAATATTTTAGTTTGTAGAATACCTTTCCCTCTCAATCATTCGCAAGAGGCCAGTGACAGTTTTGTGCTCAACTTCAGGAGACAAAGAAAGATGTTTACGGAAAAGCTGCAAACCCATGTCCCACAATGAACGCACATTTGGGGTTTGTTTCACAAATGTTCTGTCCAGATACAAGGCTATACCACGAATCATCAACATCTGGTCACAGAGGTCATGCCAGCACTCCTCAACAAGTTTTAAGAAGACCACCAAATCTGGGCTTTGACCAACTAACGATTGTAATGCTGCAGATATATGTGCTTCACACTCTTTTTCAATGCGCAGATAAAGATTACCCCCCATCTTATGCAGGCATAGATCATTGACAGCCTAAAGACAACATGATGATTAATGCCAAAACCAATAAAAAAACAAGTCTGCATAAACAAATTACTACACTGAGTTGAAACGAGGAGGAAAAAAATACAGCAGCACATACCTGATAAAGCTTCTCTAAGTCACAAGGAGCTGGTTGTTTCAAGAATATAGCCTTAATAGCTGACTGCAGCTTTGCCCATGTATCCTCCTCAAAATTCGTAGGCAGGGTTGGTTTAGCTTCAGGAAACAAAATAATTAGTTAAAAGTGAAACAAACCTGGCACAAAAGTTTATTATGAAATGTAATTTCAGAACCCAGATTTCACTACTGGTACAAAATTCAATCCTATTCATCCCAAATCACAACAAAACCACAACTAGACAAAAAAACCTCATTCATGAAAAATGAAACGCCAATTCATCAACTAGATTTTACTGTATTAATGTGTACAAATCACATCTATAAATTCATTCATTCTAAAATTATTTTCGTAATGTACCAAGCATTTGCCCTATCTTCGTGAATGATAATAAGGTCTTACAATTGACCTAGAAGAGTGAGGGCTCAAGAAACAGTGTTAAGAGGAAAAACCTAGTAAATGAGACGTAGGAGAGATGTTACACAAACATACAATATAATGAAAAAAACAATAGAAGATATTTTCAAGCTTTTGGCAATACACACACAAGCATGCGGGGGCGCACACACACACTGAAGAATATAGAATCATTCCAAGTTACTAAGAGTTCATGCAACCAAGGTGCAAATACTCAGCAGCAAATTGTACAAATAACAATTCCGAAAGAAGCTACGAGGTCTAATTGAAATGCAATCAATTACCCAGATCCGAAATAGAATGTAACAATAGGCCCTTCTATTAAAATTTATTTATAACAATCAAAACACTGAAATCAATAGCTCGGTTCACTCCTCAAACGAAATTAAATAACCAAATTAAGCTACGCAATATCGAGATCCCAATTTGGAAACAAATTCTACACTCCGCACCCAACATGTTATTCACATAAAACCCACATTAATTTAGTAATTTATGAGCAAAACCGCATGGTTGATTAAATCATACGAGCGAAAGTAAATAAATAAACAATAGTAATTGAGCAGTTATGAGGTTTTACCCTTTACGAGCTTAATTACGAGCTTCTTGGTGGGTTGTGGGGGAGTGGCCTTTTTGCGAGATAAATTTGCGGCGGCGGGAGGAGGGCGATAGTCGACGAGCTTGGGATCGTCGTCGAGAGACATAGAGGAAGGATCGAAGACGACATCGTCTGAGTGATGGAGGCCGTTTTTGTTGTGGTCGAGAGGAGAGCAGGCGGAGGCGGCCTGGGACTTGGCCTTCTTCATTGGAAGGAAATTATTAGAGGTAGAAGTGCTGGAGGTGCTAGTGGTGGCTGAGGCTGAGCGTTTGGTGGGGAGAGACATTAACAAAACAAAGTGATCTCTGTGTTTGTTAAGAGGGCATCGTATTGTATGCTATCAGCTAAAAAGAAAGAAAGGACAAATGAAGATTTGAGAAGAAAATAGAAATTGGTGAATTTTTTGTGAAAGAGAAACTGTCTCTAATTTTTTTTTTCCTCTACTTATTTGCTGCCCCTGCTGAGTAGATTTTCTATTTTTCATTTTCAATATGCTTCTACTTCGCATACATACTATTGACTTACTTTAATATTTTTATCAATACTTAGGTTATTAGTTATTATCAGTTTAATGTAATAATTTTTATAAAATTTAAGGATAATTATCAGAAAAACCCTCTGAAAAATCTTATATCGAATAAACTCATCAATTTTGTCTTAAATCTCCCAAGCTCAAAATAATATTTTTCTTATCAAAATACTCAATAACTCTAATTTAACACTAGTTAACTATTGGATCTTTTGGTAATTTTTTTTTTTTTTTTTTATAGGTTTGATAGATTTAAAAAATAATTTAATGAATTTTTTAAATATAATCTTTTTAGAGTTTTTTTTTAATAGTTTTTATCTAATAATAAACTCATTTCATAGTTTTTAATGAGTTTAATATTTATTATTTTTTTCATTATCAAGTCAAGTTCTTTTTTTATTGCATTCGAAAGGAAAAAAAAGTTTTTTATGTTCCTCAACTTTTAAACGCTAACATTCGACTACTTTTTTTTATTATACTAAAAAATTTCTTATATTAGAGTTTTTTTTTATCGATCGTTTGTTTTATTAATTACGAGATTAATTTTACTATCTAGTAACTATAACAATCGAGGTAATTCAACTAATTAATGTTGATAAAATGAGACTCTTGTCATTCTTTTGTAATTTAATCAAAATGTTATCATACAAATAAAAAAATAAAATATGTATGATTATTAACATTAGTGATTTCTCAAATCCTAATACGTCGATAGAAAAAAAAAACACCATCGGTAATACTAGTTTTTAATTAATTAAAAATCAATATTTTTTTATCAAACAATTAAATTAAATTACAAAATGAATGTATAACATATTTTAGTACATTAATTAAATAAAACATGAACATTCGTGATAGAAGTACATATCTTGAAAGATAATGGTTTCATTTAAACTAGGGATAATTACCAAAATACCTTCTAAAAAATCTTCAATTTAAAAAAATCGCTATTTTATTTTTAAATATCCCAAACACAAAATAATATTTTTAAATCTCACAAGCCTAAAACAATATTTTTCTTATCAAAACAATCGATAGTTAACACTAGTGTTAATTATATGGTGTTTTTGGTAAGAAAAATATTATTTTGGGTTTGAGATATCTAAAAATAAATTTGTAGGTTTTTTAGATAAAAGATTTTTTTTATAAGGTTTTTCTAATAATTATCCCTAAAATTTAAGTTTTTTTTCTTTTTTTCTAGATTTCCAATGAATTTATCTCGATATATGAGTAACTTTTTTAATAGATAATATTAAGATCAATAAAAAATTAGAATTTGATTAAAAATTAATTAAACTAATATTTATTAAACACAAACTCCTAATATGCACTATCATCTCTTTGAAAGTATCTTAAGCCTCTCTTTATCTTTATTTTTCTCTATAAATTCTCTCTTTTTTCCTTTAATTGTTTTTATAAATTTTATTTGTTACACTATTTAGGTGCCATTGTTATAATTTCTTTTATCTCGTAATTCAAATAAACTCATATTTAATTATAAATAGTGTTAATTATTTTTCTTTTTAATTACTAATGCTAATCAATTAGTTTGTTGCGTTAAATCTATATTTTCTAATAAATAGAACTTATTATTTTTTTAATAATAAATCATAGCAATGTGTGGACAATCGAGTTTGCTCACTCGATGAAAAAATTATTATTTTTTGACAAAGTGAGGGAACAAATTAAGGAATTAAGTAAACAAATAAATTAATAATATATAATAACCTAAATTTTTCCTAAATATTAATACAACTAGTGATCTTATGGTTGAGAAGATTACCATTTTTAACAAGGTGATGAAAGAAATTAAGTGATTGATCCGGTGGTTAAAGAGATTTATTTTCTTTCTTGACTTCCCGAGTTTAAACTTCTTTAAAAAAATTTATTAAATTTCTTTGAATACATCAAACTAATGTGGAAAGTAAATCTTAAGATCGTCCGAGGAAGCCTTAATCTCTATTGACGTATATATTGATCCAATACCTTTTTTGTTAAATAAAAAAATTATCAATTTTTATCTCAAAATTGTCGATATTTATTTAGTATCCCAAAAACTCAACATATGTATTCAAATACATATCATTCAATAATAAAATTTGGCAGTCTTTCCATTTATTATATTATTTTTGGAATCAATAGCATTTGTTATGAAAAAAAAAAAAAGATGAACAAAGAAAAAAGAAGGGGTAGAAAATGGACGAAGAAACAGGAACCTATCAACATGCCCTTATATGTTAACCCATTTCAAAATGATATCCTTTATATATATATATATATATAATATCAATGAATTGTAATACTTAATTTCTTGTAGTTCTCTAATATACCTTTCTACCAATTATGTTCATTCAAATTGATGGTTATGTGCACAATCCTTGAGTAATTTCAATCTCAATTGATAAAAATACCTTGTTAGGCCAATATATATATATATATAGTGGTTTAAGTAAACTTGGATAAGTTTGGCTATATATTAAAATTGTTCCGTGTGGCTTATAAACATTAATTTTTTTTTTTTATATATATACTTAAAAAGGGTATTTTCATTCACATAAAAGGGTATTCTCATCAATTTATATTGAACTATCACATGTTGTGTATGCAATGTTAATTTTGATAAGTGGATATATTAGGGAATAGAAACAAATTTAAAGTTATAATTGATTGACTTATATATATATATAAAGGTATGATTGATAAATTATATAATATATAAAAGTCTATTAATAGGTTTTTAAAAAATAAAAAAAAGAGAGAGAAGAAATTTAGGGAAAAAAAGGAAGGGGGAAAAAGAGAAATGAGAAATGAGCCAAAAGATTTTTTTTTTTTTTTTAAAAAAAAGAAGAAGGAAGCCTAATGGGTCCATGTCAAACCTATCCATACCCCTAAAGCCATTAATCAAATGATCAAGATGAAAAAATGGAAGTAGAGTCAAATGATGTCATCGAAAAAACCAAGATCTTTAGGGAAAACGGCTAAAAAGATTGAACTTTGTTGAGAAATAATAAAAATGTCAAGTTTCTCGCGACATGTGAGGTGAGGGAATGTATTTTAGAGGAGATGGAGAGTGAAACCTATCAAATAGAGAAAATGAAACAAGTTATAGAGAAATGTAAAATGACTTGTAAGAATTCGGTTGTTTCAAACTCCAATAGAGATCATCTCTCATTTGAGTCCTCCTTACAAAATGATTACTACTCTAAAAGTGAAGCATAAAATGCGAATGAAGATGAGAAGTATTAGAGAGTAATATAAAATTATTTTTGGAATCTCACCTTATAACTTAACCTTTTTGGGTTAAGATAATCATTTGATATGATTTCAAAACCTTGATGACTAAAATGATCATGAATTTGTATCTCACAACCCCTATTTTCTCGTCTAATTAAATAATAAAGTACACATTAGTAGTGAATATGTATAAGTTTTAAGTTCAAAGGATTTTCACTTAAAAAGATATGTTAGAGAATAATATAAAATTATTTTTAAGGCCTCATCCAACAACTTGAGTTTTGGGTTGAGAATGTCATTTGACAAAAAAGAGAAAAGATGTATGAACATCCGACAGTTGAAGAAAAGAGAGTTTTGCGAGTTCTATGGCAACAAGCTCTTATTGTAAAAGAGTTAGGGAAAAAGATTAGATTCAAGTTTTCCGAGAGATGACTTAACAAACTTTGGTCTATCACGGATCTTATTACTATCACCGACATTAGTAATAATTACTTTATACTAAAACTTGGGGATGATGATGATTGTCATAACCAGCTTTTTATCCTAAAAATTTTTTCATAAGAATTTATTTATCCAAAAATTTCTAAAGTCAAGAAAAAAAAATCTATTTTTTTTTGCAATTTTGGTCATTTTATATTTTTTTTATGATTTTAGAACATAAAGGTAATTCCCCTTAATTTAAAAAAAAAAGCCAAAAAAAGAAAAAAGAAAGCCACAAGAATAAACAATAGGAAAAATAGAATAGAGCTAGAAGAGAATAACAAGAAAGAGAATAAAAAAGAGGAAAGAAAAGTAAAAAGAGAGAAAAAAATATGATGATTAGCAATGGAAAAATTGAAAGATAACAAAAGGAATAAGGATCGAAACAAGGAAAAAAAAAAAGAAAAGAAAATCATTAATTGGGTATACAATGGAGAGGAAATGAAAAGAAGAAAACCCGAAAAAGAAAGGCCAAAGACCAAGTGAAAGAGACAAAGAAAATGAGGGATTAATGAATATCACTCAATGAAAAATGTGTTTTGAATGTTTAAAAATTTCATGTTTAGTTATGGCACCATTCCCCTACTTCTTTTTCTTTTTTCCATCTTTTTTCTCGCCTTTATTTTGTTCATTTTAGCTAATTAGGAAGCACTTTTTACGCATATCTCCTAAGTCTATGTCCCGCTAAAGCCAAACAAAAAAGACATCATCCTTTTCTTCGTATGAATCCATATTTAATCAAAACTTCTACTTTGAACCTTTCAAAAACACTACCTATAACAACACAAAGACAACATAAGGAATAGCTAGAAAACAATCATAAGACACGCCTTTTGTCTAATCCTTGCCAACTCTTATTAATAAATGGAAGATCATGATTTATCTTTAGAAATTCAATGGTTAGAATAAAGTTTGGAAGAGGTTGTCCTTAAATTATTTTAAAGGGATATAAGGAGCATCTTCGATCAACAAAGGAGTGTTTTTTTAGATGATTTTAAGGAGTTATAAAAGATTATTTAGACTACAAAAAAGAAAAGAAAAAC